GGGGGGGGGGGGGGGGGGGGAGGGAGGGAACGGGGAAAGATCTTGGCCAGAGGCGGGAAAATGAAAGATGGGAACAAAATCGAACTGGAAGTTGAACCCTGGCCCAATTAGTAACTTCATTTCCAATTCTCTGCGTTGTTCTAATTTTTTCATTGTCCCGTTCTCCACTCCCCGCTCCCCGTTCCCCGTTCCCCGTTCCTCGTTCCCCTTTCCCCGTTCATTGTTCCCCGTTCTAGTAACATCTGTAATAGAGCGGGGAACGAGATGAATTTCCTTTAGAAAACATTATGTTAGAGAGCTTCATGAATTTATATTTACAACAATTCTGATTGATGCGCAATGGAAGAATCTCAATTCAGGAAAGAGAAAGACATAATATGACCAACAAAGTATAGAATATTTTATACTGTTCAGTGCCTATCGTAACGAGAGTTAGAAGAACAAAAATGTGCTCCAGACCGAAAGAAGTGTCCATAAATCCGCCGGACAGTTGGAAACAACGGGATTTCGTTTCACTTAAACGCCTGTAAGGTTTACAAGAGATTTAGCTTGTCCATATTATTGCGATTGGGGTTGTGAACTGTGTGAATTTGGTGCTTGGAAAAAACCCGTTGTAACCACCTCTTGCGATTACTGAATCCATGAGACGTGCGAGATTTAGCGCACAGAATCATGTCATATAATTTTGAAAAAGTAGGTTTACGTCGGGCATCCTTTGATTAAACTCACGGAACCAAGGAAACGTTTTCAAAATTACAAGCTGCACTGTAAATTTTCTGAGTAAAAGAATATTTTCTATTAATTGTTCCAAAAATTAATGAAGAATTAATTCGGACGTCATTGCAAGTCGAATCACGTAATCACGAGTACTATCATTAAAATAATCTTCAGTTTGTGAGACAACCACTTGAGGTCCTTTTTTCAAAAAAACATCTGAAACAATGAAATGACAAATAGACCGACTTAATTTTGTTAACTACCGTTTGTTTTTTTTGTATTTGAATATCAAATAATACCGTTTTTTAAAAATGAGTAAGCAAAGTTCATCCTTGCCTCTCTCATCCAAACCTTATGTACGTTATTTCCCCATTTAACTTCTTTAAACCCCCGTAGCAAATAGTTTTTGTTTAAAATCCCACTCCTTACGTTAGTGCAGTCTGTTGTTTGTTTAGCGGCAGAAGTTATTAAAATTGTGGTAAAAGCTTTGGTGTGAGGTAGATTATATTTGCTTAAGATCTCGACATTAACATTTAAATTTTCATTTAAAAATGCAGCTCTCATTGTCAGTTAGACATTCAATAACTGACAACGCCCTTGAACTTGAACGAAAAAAGGTTGAATTTTCCTGAGAACGATAATCCTTGACACAAGGGAACTTTCTGATGATGGAAAGTGCGACCAATTCTTCCCTAACGGATCTTGAGGAAGACAGTTTTGAGGTGACAGTCGCAAAAACTGTAATTTGCATGCTCGTTCTCGTTGTGTCTTTAATCGAAAACATTCTGGTACTTGTGGTTTTGAAGAAGGACTTTCGCAAACGTCTAAGGACCGCTAACAGTTATTTTATAGCGAACTTGTCCACGGCAGACGTCCTGTTTGCTGTGCAGAATTTGCCACTCGCGTACAACAATTTTGTCATGGAAGGTCACTGGGTTCTTCAGGGAAACTTGGGCACCATTTTATGCAAGATAGACATGTTCTTTTCTCTAATTTCTATGGTTACAAGCAATCTTACCATCCTCGCAATTGCCCTAGCTCGGTTTTTGGCTGTTTATTCACCTTACAAAAAAATTGTGACTCGAAAAGTTTGCTTTTTCATAATTTTCTTAACGTGGTTTATTTCAACCGTCTTTGCCTCACCCATGATGTATTACGCCACGTTGCATGAATTGCCTGATCATCTAACCCGATGCACGTTGGACTTAGAGGTTCTTAAGCTATGGTACATCATTTTGGCGGGAATTCTCACCACAACGCTAATCACGATGCTTGTATTTTACATCGCTATTGGTTTGAAGCTGTGGCGGCATAGAGCCCTTCCCGGTCAACCAATCCAGGCAACTAAAACAAGAAGAGAAAAGCGAAATCGCGACATTTTTAAAATGTTGGTGACACTAGTGGTTGTGTTCTACGTCTGCTCGGTGCCAGTTATCTTGTTGAGTCTGTCACATTATTTCGGCTTTTACACCGCGTTCAGAAGAAAGCACGTTCTTTTCATTGCAGTGGTTATGCTTTTTATGAATGGAGTCATAAATCCAATAATCTATTACGTTTTTAACGAGAGCTTTCGTGATGGTGTCAAAGTTGTCTTAGCCAAATGCGGTTGTTGTCAAGGTGCTCTATACGCTTTAGAAGTGCCAATGCCCGTGAAAAAGGAAGATGGTGTCGTCTGCGGAACTAGCAGGAGAGCCACAAGAACTTCTACCCAACTGTAAATTGAGCTCTATCGCAATGATGAGTTTGGTTATAATTTTGCGATGGATGAAGTTATTTTGAAGTTAAAGAAAACGGAACATGGTGCAATAAAAGAACATTATAGAAGTATTTATAAAAATTTTGTAATAGGATTAAGAATGGATTAGTATTAGAAAACAAACATGAACGACGAACGACAAACTTGAAGGGCTTAAATTCTCAGAGTACAAGAACTGCGACGCATCCTTTTAAGACCAAGAAAAAAGCGCATCGTTTTCCTTTTTATAACAATAGTAATTCAATGTTTTGCTTTAGTCAGGGGCACCCAACGACTGTTTTTTGGGAAATATCTGTTCGGAGCTCTGTAGAATGCCTACAATTCTCGATACCCCCAAAACAGCTGAAAATCTAGTAGCATCGATTGACTACAAGGTAGGCACTGTAGAGGAAAAACGATGACGAGTTTAGAAACCAATAACAACTTGTGATATTACAAGAGTATAAACAGCCTCCGCTCTGCAATCCGCCTACAAAGTTCCTTTTACTTTCTTTGAAAGAGGATTTTTGCAAGTAGAAAAATCTTGTATGTAAACTAACGAAACTTTGCCCTATTTTGCTCACAGTCTTTCCCGAAAAGATCAATGGCCAATTTTCCAGCATTGTAATATCGTTAGAGAACAGAGCGCGCTTATGCAAAGCAGGAAAAATTACCTTTAATTTAAGGTGACTTGTACAAATTCACTGACACATGAGTGACGTTTTATGAATTTGTTATAATGCGCCCTTTGTCTAACTAATGTTTGTGGACGTTCTATTTTTTTCTCTATTTGTAAATAAAGGTATAGTTAGTCTACTGATTACCTTCGTTGCTGCCCTTATTCATGCCAGCGGGCATAGCGGGCTGCAAGTAAGTAATTACTGAATTAGCCATCATATTGTCATATTATTATCATATTGTGATGTCGCGGTGGCCTCTCCTTTCAACCTGGTGGTTTCTCGAGGTCTCCTCGCCTAACAACATGCTGTATTTTGTAAAATTCATTTTAATATCAAGGCTAATAAATGATGATGATGAATAAGGACGCATTTTTGGCATTTGTTAACAAAAATACCGTAAAATTCCGAAAATAAGCCCCGGAGCTTATATTTTTCAAAGGCCCTTTTTGAGGGGCTTATTTTTGGAGGGGTTTATATTCGTAGGGGCTTATCTACGGAGGGAAATTTTCGTTTCAAAATCGATTGGGCTAGCCGTATAGTTGGAAGTAAATTTACCGTTTTTGCTTTGTTTTACTTTGTATTTGAGAGCAATTTTCCAAATACAAGCCCCCGGGGACTTATATTTAGAGGGGCGATTTAACGGAGGGTTTTT